TATGTCACATTATACATTCTAATTAGGCGACAGATGCAGAAAATGTCACATAATTGCCGCGGAGCAACAACGAGAATCTCTGTGATGTTTTATAAAACACGACAAGGGTCCTGGTCGGCACCGATGACGGTGACGAGATTGAGATCCGATTCATCGACTGGAGATGAACAAAACAAGAATCTTCACTTTTTTCCCCCACACATCTCATTAATGAGCCTGGTGACATTTTTCTTGCTGTTGCCACCATATTGCAAAATGCTGCCTTGTCGTAAATGAATTAATGCTAGAAATAATCTAAGATGGTAAAAAAAACGTCCAATTTTTAAAGGATTTGAAGTCCATACAAGGGTTCCTCACATCTTGACACCATTTGTCTGAGCTGCTCCAAATGATAGGAAATTCACAAAGGGCTGACGCAGAGACGAAGCCGACAATGAATCTCGTACCATCTTCACTGAATGTTTATTGTTTTGCAAAAATATGATCCGTGTCTGCTTGGAAACTTGACTTGAGCCATTCAACGGTCTTTAGTCACGGTCGCGCCAGAAATTCTGTCAAAACAACGGTGATTGAAATCATCTTAAATTTGGTTCCGAACTCAACCTGTAATAAATTCCAGATGTATTTCTTGGTTGTGAAAGACTTTTAATTTTAACATAAACTAAGCTTTCTTCTTATTGTTGTTGTTGTTGTTTAGCATGTCAACGTTGGACTTTCAAGTTTCAAATTTTGACTTTAAGTTTGTTATAAATTATAATGTTCCATTAAAGAAATTCTGACTTTAAGTTTGTTATAAATTATAATAATATTTCACGTAAAAGGACATCAACATTTCATTGCTTGACATTTGTGAAATTAAAATATATTGGCTGCGTTTTGAGTCTGACCTTAGCAGTGATTACATGCGTAGAAACTCTGAGAGACAAACCCGTCCGTGGAGTAAACAGACTCTGTTCAAACAGCATTGATTATTTGATTTGTCTTCTTTTTAAAAAAAACCCTGTTATGTTTTTTTCTTCACTGCCACAAAGTTGACTCCACTCTTTTCCAGGATGAGTCTTACCTAGTTCTTCAGCTCTGACTCACTCAGCCCTAAACACTGCACCTGTTTGGACGTCCACAGCAGACACACAGACTGTATGTCCCACCAGCAGATGTTAGTGATCATGAGTCCAACGGTGGTGGAGCCGTGGGACCGCAGTGGAATCATCTGCTTGGACGTCCGCTGGTCGTACGTCAGGGATTTGAGGAGCCATGTAAATGAGAGGTAGATGGACGGATGATAGATTGGCTCATGGGTTCGTGGAAAAGTTCAGCGGCGAGAGCAGCTGAGATGGAACGCGAACGTGATGAGTTATGGTGTTGTGGGGATTTTCGGCGTCCCTCGGCGTCTCCAAGAATGTCAGCGTTAGGACGCTCTGATCTGCTGCTGTCAGTGATTCGATTTCCTGTGTGGACTGAAGCCACCTGGACCCGATGTTCCAGGACATAATATTTGTAGTTATGTAGTGTGTGTGTGTTTGGGGGTGGGGGGGGGGCGTTGTGCCTTTAAGTTGAAGAGGTAAATCAACGTGAAAGGTTGTGTTTATCAAAGGAAATGCATAGATCTAGTGAGAGCAGTGTAAAGCATGTGTGTCCAACTCAAGGCCCGAGGGCCGAATGTGGCCCAACAAGTCCTTTTGTGTGGCCCACGAGAGCTTAAAAACTGTTGAATTACCGTATAATACAGCCCATACTGATGAGTTTCTTAACCTGATAAGAACAAGGATAATTGGAACCTGAATAAATAATGATAAATTACAAGAACAATTGGAACCTGAATAAATAATGATAAATTGCAGAAACATATATTATAAGTTATGGAGAAGCTACAGCTACACAGTCTCATAGTTACAACCATCCCTTCATGGGTGACTTTATGGGGAGCATTACAGATTTTTTTTAACATTTGGAATAAACATGGTTAGGAATCCAAAATCACATTTCTAATATATGAGAGGAGTGTTTTTCAACCTTGGGGTCGCAAAACACCTGTGGAGTCGCCTGCAATTAAAAATGGGGTCATCTGAGAGGTCCAGTAATTACTGATTAAATATTTACTAACTCGTTATTATTTGTTATTCATTACAATCTGTTCGTCAGAGTTCTACCTGGCAGCACTGCACCATTTTAAGTGGCAGTGCTGCCACCTACTGGTTCAACATTAGCACCATTTGCGAGAAAATAAGATAAACCAATTAGGAATTAAGTTTCAGATTGAATGTGAACTATTTAATCCACCGCTGTGATTCACCATCACACACTTTAACAAGAAGAAGAACTCTTCAACCAAAGTCCATTGAGGTTTTTCTTCTTTTTCTCCATTAAATCACAAAGATGTTGTTGATCCAACGTAGCTCTAAAAGTTCAGGGGCGAGGTCTTGGGACATCTTTATTTGAAATCCCTCATTACAATTTAATTTAGTTAAATGACAGACTTGGTAAATGAGGCAGCAGTGGAGCTGCTGATAACACATCTCTGCAGGCTATAAATGGTAATTCTCTGAAAAGACTTTGGTGGGTGCAGAAGGGTCTGTGGATTAGTAACTTCACTTTTTACGTTTACGTCTATTACTGCTTTCTTCTGTGCACAAATATAGAATTTTAGCTGAACCCTGCACTGTTTCTTATTGTATGATTATTATTTCTTTATTTCACAAACACCACGAAATATAATATAGAATAGTCCGTGGTTTCCTTCTGATCTTTTATAAATGCTGCAGACCGGGGCTCAGCGGAAAACTAGGAGCACAACACACGAATAATTGAATGTGAGAGCACAAATATATAAACCCACACATTTAGAAATCCCAGGTATCTCTCTTACATAGAATTCAAGGATGTTCTCTCATCTGCAAAAACCTTGGATCGTGGTTCCACATTTCCAAGGTTGGGATATAGATCAGCGCCGCCGCTTTCGCACATTCATATTCAGGCAACATAACTTTTAAACTCCCAAAATGCGGAATTTAAATTCCTGGCGCAGGCTGCAATTCCTTTGCTGACAAAACACAAAGGCTGTTTGCTCTGCTTGTTTGTGATGCAGAGACTTGAACATGATCCTGAAGTTACTGCTGTTGCTGACAAATCTAATTATTTTGGACAGTGAGAGATAAAAACACAAAACTCGCAGCAATCCCTGGCTCTGCCGGGAGCAGGCTTGAACTCCAAACCCCTTATTACTGTGAGGTGACAGAACTAACAACCGCACCACCCTGGATTTAAAGCCCATCTAATTTGCTCTAAGAGAACGAGAAACCCCGGAAAAACAATGGTAACAACCAACACTACAGGCTGAGCTGACTGGACCCCGGCTGATAGCTTTACAGTTAGTACCTGAGGGTTGATCACGCCGTCATTATAGTTCATAGGTTTGATGCACCTCCAGTTGTCAGAGTGAGGTGCTTTTAATGAGATGAATACCATTCTAATATATATTCTGACAGCAACACGTTTGTCATTAGTCCATGTCTGCTGTTACTAGGGTGATAGGAGGGTGTGAGTTTCCGTGGGCTACGGATGGTGAATTTCTCTATGATATTTGATGTGAAAGGTTGAGGATGGATACAAACCTCATTGTCAAGTCTGAAAAAACAAAACAAAAACAAGAACCAGTAACAACATTTTAGGTGAAAACAGTTGTTAAACTGGTGGAGCTTTGGCCCAGAGTCAATGTCTCTGTCATTGGTGTGGAACCCCAGGGTTCACCTCCTGGACAAGTTCAAATCCTGGTTAGGGCAGTTGGTACCTTCCAGTGGACTCAGCACCCGCAGGAAGGTTCAGGGGGGTTGGTGCGGTGCAGTGTGATTTGGGTGGCGACTGCTGCCCCCACGACCCGGTAATGGATAAGCGGAAATGGATGGATGGATGGATGGAGTTGTTAAACTGATCCAAAATAATACAAAAAAAAAACAAAACATCCTGTGGGTTGAGTCAAAAAGACCTTCTTTGTGTGTGCCAACGCTGGTTTCATACATGTACTCACCCAGCAGTCATAACCCCTTCATAAACAGGTAGTGATGTTACTCCGGACCAAACCAAGCTGCCCATCATTGGTCAAATGTAAAACAGGGACCTGAGAAACTGGATCATTTTCATAAACTAAATGATAGTTTAGAGAGGGGCCATTCAGGGGGAAAAGTGGTTTGTGTTCTTGCCTTACAGCACCACTGATCTGGTGGTTTGTTATGTCTTGTCTTGGTGTCTTGTTTGTGTGCAAAAACCTCCAGTTCTTGAACTGGATTAATTGGAAACTGTTATTTAACCATAAGTGTGAGGTGAATGTGAATGGTCGTCTGTCTCTGCAGGCGGCTCTGTAAGTGACGGGGAACTTCTCCTGACGACTGCAGCACCACGCAGTCTGAAAAAGATTATTTTCAGAGATGATGAATGGGTGAACGTTCAGGTACTGCAGCACGGAGCGGAGTCGCACATTAAAAACATTCCCAAAGAGCCCAGTCACTAAATCACACAGGACCATCAGTAACAAATTAAGACTCTTTAATTGAAATTGTTCACCTTTTACACACTGACAGTGAATATACACAAGCTTTCATGGTCCCTTTGGCCTGAGACGCGCTCTGTGTGACTATGTGAGCTGAATAGTGACTGACATGGCTTATGGTGACTGAAGCGCTCTCTCTCGCTCTCTCTCGCTCTCAAAACAAACAGACAGTCAACACTCACACTCACAGACCTGGTAACGTTCAGATCTGGTATCAATGATGCAACGCAGGTTCTGCTCTAAATGCTTCAAATGTATTATCCACATTTAGTTGGACGGAGACTGAGGCCACGTCAGTCCATGGTACTGGTCATCTAGTAGAAGAGGCCCAACAACAGACCTGGGAAGGTTAAGTCAAAAACTGCTTGTGCTAGCGTTACAACATCAGCTAGCAGTAACAGTTTGGGTCTGTTACCAGGTCTGAACAGGGCAATTACCAGGGCACAAACATAGTTAAGTCAACAGGGCAATTACCAGGGCACAAACATGTATAGACACATCTCCACTGCAGGAACTAGTACCAGGAACTAGGGGCAGTTCAGTTAGTAAACTACAGGTGTAGATAATATCTTCGGAGTACTTGGGGGACAACAGGACACTTGCAGCACACAACTTCCTGAATGATGGAAGGACATTATTCATTTATTACACTGATGACTTCTGTCATTTAGTTTGAGCCTCTGCTCCAATACGAAAACACTTTCTATTAAAAATCTGGGAGGGGACGACTCGGTACTTTAGTAAATTAAAATGTACCACAAGGATCTTAAAGTAAAACTTCGGACTGTGGTAATATTTCATACACCAGAGGATTTGAGGTGCATTACATCTGTTCAAACAGTTAGGGAGTGATCATGAGCATTAAACCCTACGGTGATCTGGGTTACTTTGGAATATGACCTCTTCAGGAAAACTCAGACCAGAAACTGCTTCAAAGCAATAGGTTTCACAGGCCACCGTGCAGCAGTGCAGTGTGTTTGATACAAAACGTTAAAAAAAAAAAGTAACAAAATGGATCTGATAGTTGCCACGGGTTGTTGTGCTACTGCTACAACTGGGCCCTGATTTAGAAACCTTTGAACTAAATGTAAAAGAAAATGACATAATCTCCGTGGGACCTTCACTCCAGTGGACAACGAGCCAATGAAGGTACAGTTTATATGTAAAATCTTTCTCACGCCTAAAGTCCCTGGTAATATGCACTGGAAACAAATCGTATCAACGCCTACTTCCACACACGCACACAGGAAACGCGGAGACGAACACAGACACGCACATTACGACATGTACGCTAACCATCTAAACACCATCTAGTCATTTAATGTGGACGTCAAGAGAGGCGGGGCTTAAAGTGCATACAGGAAGAGAGAGGGAACTCTGCTCACTCGTACCATCAACAACAGCCTCCTAAAATGTGACAGAGTTGAACCTCCGCTTAAGCAATGGTCTTTACAAAAAGCCTGGTAAGAGCTTTAAACGTTGTTGTTTTTTTTAGCGCTGCCTTGAAATAATGACACTGCATAGTACATTGGATTAGTCTGGTACATTATTGCGGTGTGATGTAGATCCAACTCTGGGGTGCGGGCTGTGGGATGGCACAGAGAGCAGGTACAGTCCAGTCTCAGAGTTGGATCAGAGGATGAATCCGTGACAAAGGGCCTCCTGATGCTGCTCTTTCATCCGGTTTCAGCCTTGAAAGCAGGATAATTATCCACATTGTGCCATGACGCTTAGAATACCAATGCATAGAGGGAGAGCAGGTGGCGACATGTGCACTCTCCTTGGCCTGGTTTTGGATGAAGCCATTGAACGGGAGCACGGAGCAGTTCCATCTCTGTCCAGCAGGTCAATAAGGGGCAAACAGGACTTGTGAGTGGGAGGTCCTAATAGGCCCCGGGGCCGGGCGGAGCAGTGCAGCAGGAAGGGACTGTGTCTGGAAGAGGGTGTGGGTTGTGTTGTGGTTCGACGCATGGTTCGTGTGGCGTGGGAGGGGGGGGGGGCGGCGGCTGCCGCAACTGCGGCGAGGTGAGCAGGGATGATCTGAGCGGTGAGAGGTGGACACGGGCGATCCTTACCCAAGGTCAGTTTGATCTGCTGAAACAAAGCAGACACTCAGTTATAAAACTAAATACGTGATAATAAAGTTCAAAATGCATTTTCACTCTCAGGATTTGAAGATAACAAGTGCTGAAAGCCTTCAGTCTGGATTTATCACTTTTCAGACAGAAGATAAACAAAATAAATAAACACCAATGTGCGTGTCTATTACAGAAGAATAACCGTATTTGCTAAATTATTGGATAAAAGATTGCTAGCAAAAGCTTATCTTTAAAGGTTAGGGAAAAGGATGACAATAAATTCAATATTATTTAGGGCAACAATTAACAAGATTTTGATCATTAAAAAAAATTCTGATTGTTGAATTCAGTCTGTTTCGGTAATGAGAGATATTTATTAGACTTTTCCGATCACATTCAATTTAGTCGAGCGGGAGAGAACATTTAAGAGTTAGGACGAAGCCGTGGCTGCACAAACAAACTTTTAAATAACTCCTCAATAAAAACATCTGCTCAAAGCGTGTTTGTTAATTGATCTGTCAACAGAGTGAGCCTTTTAAATTACCACAACTCTGCATTTGCTGCCACTTCCAAGAAGCCAACAGGCTGTGTTATGGAAGCATTAGGCATCTGTTTCGCAGAGAACTCAAGTGGTTTTAAAAGTCAAAACTTTTTTTTTTTTTTAACCCGATCATTACAGATGCAAGCAAACGCGACAAAACATGTAACATTTCCAAATAACTCAGTAGACTAAAACATTTTAGTGAGAAACTCTCTCAACCTCTGACAACAGTCTAAGTGGGTGAAAAGGTCACTGGAGTTATCTCCTTTAATCTCCTGTATCAGTAATGGAAAATCTGCTGTTTGGCAGCATCAGGGCGGCCGCTGTGGTCACGGGTTATCAATCACTGACTCAGCCGTCGAAACCCGGTGGGAAGCATCCTTTACCCTCCGCCCGTCAGAGAAGCTCCTCTCCGTTAACTTGCTCAATGATGGGTTTCATAAAAAGTCATTTCCCCCACGCTGCTAACCCCCGATGCTGCGTCGCACCAAACAGTGGGTGTGATGAATGCGTTTTTCCGGGGGAGGGGAGCCTTTGTGTTTAATTCCACATTTAATTCACATTAGTTTCCACACTTCTGTTAGAGCTCGCAGAACACGACGTACAAGTCTGGGTTTCGGGAAATTCCTTTGAAGAGTATGTTGTCAGGTTCATGTTATACTAAAAAAAAACCACTCAGGATTCTTGAAGGTGAATCTGTGGATGGATTATTAAAGAAATTCGGGTCGATTTTCATTAACCCAGGTCACAGTATTCGGGGTACTGTTGAGTACTGTTGGTCTTTTTTCAGTTACAGGAAAACAGAAACAACACAATAATGGGTTTAGAGACATTGACTTATATAAGCATAGCCTCTTTCTACGGTGAGCAAAACCTCTCTAACAAAGTTTCCCAAACCCTTTTTGATACGAGGCATCCATTATGACCCACCCATCCATCCATCCATCCATCCATCCATCCATCCATTATCTTCCTCTTATTCCTTTGCATTATTAGGCTTCTGGCTTCCCTTCCTCTTATTTGCATTATTAGGCTTCTGGCTTCCCTAACGCTAACCACATTATAAATCTGGTGCTCTGAAATACCCAATGTAATTGTACTGTTTTTTTCCCCAAAGTATTGTATCCATTTAGCAGATGCTTTTATCCAAGGTGACTTACAAGAGGAGGATTAGAATCAAGCTACATGGCGGAACTAGTGATTAGAACTAGTCGAAACATGACCATAACCATAGACCTGGTCTGGGTGTTGTGATGTCAGTGTTGACTCAACTCCTTTCTTCAACCGTACAGGTTATTCATAATGATAGAGTCTCATGGGCTTACTGCAGAAAAACAAAACCTTTTTAAACCGTACTTTCTTCCGTTTATTTTTTTTCCCCTCTTCACAGCCTGTTCAAACCGAGATTATTTTGTCGACACCTGGACCTCGGCTGCTGATAAGAAAACCGGGGGATTTCCGATGACTCACCGGCTGCTTGGTCTGTCCCTTCTGTGGTTTAGTGTAAGGGCTGTATTTGGGTTTGGCAGGTTTACCCGCTGCTCTGTCTTTGTGACGCCGGCTGCTGATGTGCTGGAAGAAACAGAAGACACGACGGTGATGTCAGAGGTCGGCTGCGCCAGTGAACTTTGATGAAACAAGACTGAAAACATCATTCTCCATTGCAATCAAAGCTGTACTTGAGCATAACAACTTGTAGAGGTCTAGATTTTCTTTGTTGCTCCTGCCAAGACTGGGTCTGAGTGAGGCCAAGAAAAGCCTGTGGCTACAGGAATTTGCTGCCTCTGTTATTATAGGCATAATCATAAAATTAAAAAAATAAAAAACTTACATCACTATTATTAAGCAGCTGCACACTGGTGCTCGTGACTACACAGAAATATTCAAAGATTTTATGATTAGCTAAAAAAAAAAAAAACAATAAAAACATCACGGAATGTAATTGTATTAGTATTTAATCCCAAAAAAGACGAGTTGCAGCCAAACCACAAGAGGGAAACCAGAAGACCAAATACTAAATAAGGCGTGAGCAAAACTGGCAAGCATCCCAGGGAGAGTGAAAAGGACAGATGAGACAAGGACAACAGGAAAGACAGACAATAAATACCCCAGAAAATGTCAATACATTTCAATAGAACTGAGTCACATCAACACAGTCAATCACAAGGTGAGGAGTCAGACGGAGACAAAGAGGCAGGAATAGATGTGAGCAAGGTGAGACTGTCCACTGAAAACATGAAAATACAGGGAAGACAAACGCTTAAGTCTCTGGGTCTGTTTAAGTTGGTGATAGTGTTATCCTGCATTAGGCAAAAATATATAATGAATAAATGACATTAGGATCTTTCTGTTTCCTGTGTGCCTTCAGTAACAACAAGAAATAAAAAAATTTTAAAAATTCATACCGCAACTTCTTCTAAACATTTAAAAAAAATTCATACCGCAACTTCTTCTAAAACATGTCAAACTCAAGGCCTGGGGGCCAAATGCGGCCCGCCAAGTCATTTTGTATGGCCCGCGGGAGCTAAAAAACCATTTAAGCAGCAGAGTTTCTCAACCTGATAGATTCAAAGTTTTTTTTACTACACAGTAAGGAACTACGGTATATTTGTAACTTGAATAAATAATCAATTGCAGATACATTTATTAATACAGCATGGGGTAGCTACAGCTATACAGTCGTCCATTTACAACCAGCCCTTCCTGAGGAGAACTGTATAATGATGTCGCCCTCTAGTGGAAATGAGTTTGACACCCCTCTAAAACATGATTGTTCAGGTGGAAATGACACCCCTCTAAAACATGATTGTTCATACTACTACCCAACTAATTTGTCATGTATTGTATGTGTATGTACATACTGTTTATGCGTACAAGAAACGTACTCTGGAACCATGACTCACCACAGTCAAAGTTAATAAAAAACATCTTAATGGATGTCATAGCTAAAGACCAACCCAGAGCCCCCAAAAGCCAAATAGTTCTGGGACCTCAACGTCTATGAATATCAAAACCCATTTTATGGACATCTGTGTGAGTCATTCCTCTTCAGGCTACAAAACCAGAACCGTATTTTAAAGACGGACCGCGATGCTTCGAAATGCCAGTGACCTCCAGCTGCAGGCGACTGTAGATACTATCTCAGGTTAGATAGCTTATCATTTGCTGAGGTTTGGGTCTGACTGACAGAAGAGAGAAGACGCGGGACTAAAAATACACCCCGTGTCTCAAGGCAAAGAATATTTCAGATAAAAAAGATTTCTTAATAATCCAGAGCTGAGATCCCTTGGAAAAACAGCTGCAGTAATACGACAGGCTGGCAGAGCATTTTACCAAACATCTTTTTTCACCATGAGGCCTGATGGATGCACGGTAAACACAAGGGTGTTTCCCTTTTTTTCTAAAGAAAGAAAATTGTGGCAGATGTGAATAAATAAATATTCAATTAGAAACTGTAATGACATTCAAAAACACTGTGTAGGCCCTCGGGGGCCAATACATTATTTAGTGGGAGAGCAAGGAGGGAAAGCAAATAAATTATTTCTTCACAAGTTCTGTTGATTTAGCAATCATTTTTACTGCGAAAGTAAGTGAAATACGTCCTGATAGATTTTTCATTGCCAGTTTGGGAAACTCCAAATGATATGCTGACAAAATATGTTTGCAGAGTTTTCCTTTTTTACTTGTTTATAACATAATTCTCTGTTTAGCTCAGAGTTTTACTTGTTTATAACATAATTCTCTGTTCAGTTAATCGTCCAAAAATGGCTAAAACTTTAGTAAAAGAACTAAAACATCTTGAACAAACCAAACCAGTCCAGTCGTCCACACCTGAACTTCCCAGGATAATATGGTTATTTTATGCTGGTCAGAAACAACCGTATAGAACTACAGGGTGTCAATGGTTTGCAGCATTGTTTCCCAGAGACTAGGTCGCGACCCTCAGGTGGGTCGCAAAAGATTTTTTGGGGGGTTGTTTCGCATCTTGTTTCCCAGGAGTTTATTAATAATGTCTACTGACTCGGATCGCGAAGGTTTGAGACTTTTAAAACATGGGTCCCCAGAAAAAAAAAAGTTTGGTAAACACTGGTTTACAACATCCTCGACCCTCGGCGTGGTTACATTGCCATCTCCTATAAATTTATTGAAAAAGTCTTATTCAATCATCCTGTCGTACGGCATTAAATTAAATTCAAATTCACACAAGAACCAGTTGGTGGACGAATAATGTCACCAGGCGTTATACTGTAAGTTAGTTTAATAAGTCTCAACATTGGCATTTCTTGAAGAAATTTGAAATTATTTCAAGATTTAATTTGCTGTTCAAATCCCCATGTTTAATATTTCCACACTAACAATATCTAATAATGCAGGACTAAATCTCCTGAATGTTGAAATTAAATGTTTGTTAGTAAACTAAAATTCAGCAAAACGTTCAATCGTGTTCTTAAACCAGGCTTTTATGACTTTCTGACATTTGTTTGTTCAAAGGGAAACAGTTTCTGAACCTGAATCCTGTCCTGATTTTTGAATGTTATTAACAGAAATAAACACTCAGTATTAGGCCCAACACTTCATTCAAACACTCAAAAATTCAGCACTGAAGAGGGGAGTGCTTGATTTTTAAACACAGCAAGGGAGTAGCTGTCACATTAGGGGTGCAGAGGAATGATAAAATTAATTAATTAAAAAAAACAACTCAGAAGCAAGAAAACACTGAATAAAAACAACACAAAAATAAGGACCACAGTTTGAGGAGAACACACACAACATGAGCCAAACAGAGCTGACTGAAGGTGAGAGGTATATATACCCCAGGCACCAGGTGAGAAGAGTGAGACTAATGACCAGAGACGCACAGGACCCAGGTGAGCGTGATGAAACTGATTACCCCAGGAGAGACAGACAGACATGACGGGAAACGTGAAGTGAAAATGAAATGAAATCTTGAAATGATTTCAAATTTCTACAAGAAATGCCATTGTTAAGACTTATTAATATATCTATATTAATATATAGAGTTTAAGTAACGCTTTGTTTACTGGAAAGCTGGAAGGACAAATAATGTCACGTTCACATTTTGTTTTCTTTCTTTCGTTTGTGTTTGTTTTGGGAAACTAATACGTAATAATGACGTTTTTCTGTCCTAGATTATGATGTTACCACTGTGTTAGTGTTGATGTAGGTACTGTTGTGCAGCATGCCAGTTCTGAATTATGGCAAAAATTGCATTACATCGTGCAGCAGGAACGAGTTTGAATGTTCACTTAGAAAATACTTAAAGCCAGTGTTATTGCCTTTTTTTTTTTATTAAGAGACGAATGTTTACACAGCCAGTTGAATTTAAAGCAAGCGCTGGTTTTTACACCTACAGCACATTTCAATTAAATACTTAATACTAATTAAACTCACTTAAACTCTATAGACCTATCTCCATGGTTCAACTAAAACAAAAACAAAAAATAGAAGTCACAATGTTGGTTAAATACTCTAAGTTAGTTTATTAAGTCTCAACAATGGCATTTCTTGTAGAAATTTGAAATCATTTCAAGATTTCATTTCATTTGCTCTTCACGTTTCCTGTCATGTCTGTCTGTCTCTCCTGGGGCGTCTCTGTCATTAGTCTCACTCTTCTCACCTGGAGCCTGGGGTATATATACCTCTCACCTTCAGTCAGTTCTGACTGGCTCATTGTTGTGTGTGTTCTCCTCAAACTGTGGTCCTTTTTTTTTCTTCTGTTCTTTTCTGTGTTGTTTTATTCAGTGTCTTCTTGTATCTGAGTTAGTTTTTTTTAAATTAATTTTATCATTTCTCTGCACCCCTAATGTGACAGCTACTCCCTTGCTGCATTTAAAAATCAAATGCTCCCCTCTTCAGTGCTGAGTGTTTGAATGAAGTGTCAGGCCTAATACTGAGTGTTAATTTCTATTAATAACATTCAAAAATCAGGGCAGGATTCAGGTTCAGAAACTGTTTCCCTTTGACCAAACAAATGTCAGACGGTCACGAAAGCCTGGTTTAAGAACATGGTTGAAACTTTATTTGCTGAATTTTAGTTTACTAACAAACTTTTCAACATTTAATTTCAACCTTATTAGATATCTCTTTGAGCAGTTTTGTAGTAACATTGCACTGTATTGTATTGAATACTACCTTTGGACTGTCACCATGTTGGAAACATTAGAAAAGTTCAGTGGATTTTTTTTTTTTCTTACTTTAAACTCTGTAAACTTGCCCACATATCCTGGCATACTCTATAAAACCTGTCCCTGATCATGACAAAACAAGGAAACACCAACGCAGTACCCGCACCTATGCTGCCACTGCTAGGTGCCCAGCGACAGGTCCCAAATAGCCATCCAAACCCTGGTCTCTAAAACCAATGAGTGTGCCAGATGATACCTGACCGCAAACCTGACATCCCAACACATCTCCTTATAACGGACTAGCAGTGACACAATAGGGTACCAATACCCATCTGGATCCTGACCGAAACACTGTATGGCCATCTCGATTGAGGAAGGGGAGGCTAGGTGTCCATCCAGATCACTTGCCCTACCTCCATCGCCGGGTTATCCCGCTGTATTTATTGCTTTTAACCCATGATAAATCACCACATGTATCACATAATTTATTTAACACCGGACACAGAAGCAGGTGGCTCCACTCTCCTTGTGTGTGTGAGCGGCCAGAGCTCTGACGTCAATAGATTTTGGCCACAATCAACAAAAATGATCCAGGAAGAAAGAAAAGTAAAGGGACTGGTGTCAGTCAGGACCAATAGAATTTCATGCCAGTAAGAATTCTGGGAATCCTGGCTGACATGCCATAGATTGGCCCAAACTAAAAAAAAATAAATAAAAAAAACCACAGCATGCTTGACTGTCAACAAAGGCCATATAGATTGGCCCAAACTACAAAAAAAAACAAACAAAAAAAAACCCCAGCATGCTTGACTGTCAACAAAGGCCATAGATTGGCAGCTTCCTGGGAGCCACATCAAAGATATTCTGTCTAGAAAGTACCAGGAACAGAATAATTCTGACGCTTCACCAGATTTCATTAAAACTTTTTCCCAAGGATACAAAAATAGAAAAGACTAATGAGAGGTAAAGCCTGTGACAGAGACAAGACAGGATGAAATAAAAGCCCATTAGCAGCAGAAGTGCATCTATGAATACCTTCCAAATGATCCACATCTACAACAAAGAAAAGCCCACTCTTGATTAACAGAGTCGGACGAAACACAAAAGAATTTGAAAATATGAGGGAAATGAACGGTGTAATTCTGACTTTCACAATTTAAAAATGATGTGCTTTCATAAACCGCAGTGTCGATAAATTATAGCACCATCTATTAATGCAGCAGCCTTGATACAATGGATGGACTTTAACTGTGCCAGGTTCTACACAGACAGCGAGTCTGTGTGGGTTTACGGAGCATTTTACTGATTTTGAAGCCTGCTCTGTCCTGATTTCACCCAAATGTTCACTCAACATATTTAAGAGCAAGTCTGTCGTTGATCACAATAATAAACATATTCTTCACTTGATTATACTCAATATTCTCAAACCACCCACCTGTTTTAGCTGAGTTTCTGAGTTGACGTGCACATCACACGTCTCACAGTAAAAGGTTTTGTTCTGCAGGCCTGTGGAGGATTTAGAGGGTGCGGCCAGTTTGCTTTTCACTCCGGGTCGAGGGAAGGATTTGATGGAGCCTACGCCGCTCCTGGCCTCCAGCATCGTCTTGTGCTTTGTACCTGCGTATACAACCAAGAACTTGGGAGTTAAAACCTTACTGAAGCTACCGTGATAAGAAACATAAGCAGAAATCAGAGGTGGCTTGTGTGATAACAGATTATCCTGACTACATAGGCCACATTTTAGCTGCAGTTTTATGTAATTACTTCCATATGTGAATGAAAATGCATGGGGGGAGTGAATCTAATAGCCTTAAACAAAACGAAATTGCAACAATTTATGTATGAACTTGAACTCGTTATCTGGACTATTCCGTGAAGTTCCTTTCACGGCACAGAAAGCAGCACAGGCTAAAGCTGGACACTCCATTGAACTCATTCACACATTACTTCACCGTCGTTTTAAAGCACTTTTATCCTTCCCAGTGTGGAGACCAGTTCTTACTGTAGCAGAACCACTGTCCTCCTGATAACTTCCATGTAACATGAGATCCAAATACTTATGTGTCCACTAAAACCTCCTCGCATTCATCCACTGAGACTGATAAACCTGAATATGTTGGCTGAGTCCTGCTAAGGCTACGGATGGAAAAAAAAAAAGAAGGGAGTCCACACACTCGCCAGGAACGAGCTCCACAGTGGTCTCAGAGGTCTGGTCGTGAACAGGTCACGCATTCTCTGCTAAAGAAACATTATCAATATCATCTCACAGGGGAACATTTTCTCTGACTCACTGCAGTGACTGTCAATCTTAGGTCACGTCCATAATTCTCTATGGCCAACGGCTGTAGTACATTGAAGCTGCAGTCTGTAACGGTCGTGTAATGTAAGGTTTTGTCAGCACTTTTTGGCATCAAAACTGTTTTCCATTATGTTACTATCAAACCATTTGTCACTTGGCCCACAGAAGGCGATCTAATGTCATTCACACCACTGAGTGTTCACAAGTGGAAAGCAGAATGTGGGCCATTCATGAACGAAAGCTGTCCTCTCCTGCTCACCCTGACACGTTTCTCTCCTGCTAACGTCGAGCCAAAGGACGCTCAGCCAAGAGGCTGCACACTATTTCAAATGCTCCCTACTGGACTTCATTAAAGACAATTAAAAGTTCTAAAAAAAAAAAGCCTAAAAAACAAATAAGTGCTGATAATAACAGAGATGTTATGTTGTTTTGCCGTAGATCTATATAATCTTTAAGTACTTTTTAGTCATTTCTCATGTTCTAAAGTGGTCTTACTTGTTAATACATTTGTTGCTTAAACAACAGAGAAACGCTTTAAAAGTTTCTTTAAAAGTGATGTGATTTTTACTATCACGTTCCAAGGGCTTGGTTTTCCTAGCCCGACAGTGATTTATCGAGTCAGAAAATGTTCCACTTCATCTCTGCAGCTGTCTGAGAGAACACAAACCCGGCAGATAACAATCGTCTTCAAAAAGAATCGGTTACCCACAACCCTATGTTTTCGTCGGAGCCTGATGCAAAGCCTGACGATACCTGTCACTGCAACTAATGAGGGAGTTTACACAGGCACAAACTGTACACACCCCACTGACAACACACTCAAACACTCTCCTTTTGGGTTGTTTTTTACAGTATTTTATTTTATATAGACTGATAACCAACAGCTAAAACTGGCTGAGAAAAACATTGATAGAATGGATTGAGGAACAGCAAAAAGCTACATGTTCAGCTAACCTAGTGGTTCTCGGTTATTTTCTATGTATATTTTTATCTGTACAAACCACTGGCTGGAGGCCTGTTATCATTCAAGGATTACAGCAGTGGTACACTTATGTGCAGCGTACCATATTCCAAGTCCTTCACGACCCCCCCGGCACCTCACTCCCCTCCCCCCTCCCTCATTCCCCCCGGCACCTCACTCCCCTCCCCCCAAAGGGGTTCCACTATTTGAGAAGTACTGAGCTAACCTAAGTCTAGGTAGACATTGAGATGTCGATATGACTAACTAAATGTTAGCCCAAAAAGATTGCTAACGTGATGCTTGCCCAAATACCAAAATCAATGCACATCATGTGTTTGTAATAGCTTTGTGATGTATTAGCTTTAATAAAATTAAGAATTCTATAATAAGAAGAAAACTATAAACATAGGATTGCTACAGGGAGGTAGGCTGTGCTGGGCTTGTACATTTATTAGTCGGTTTCACTTTTCTCGATAATTCTGTGTGCAACCTAAAATAAAATCCTACCCCCTAAAAAACCTACTGGACTGCTAACAATTGAAAGTGCTACTTCGTAGCCAAAAATGGACTTTTTTGTCCTTTTTAGTTTTGTTATGCATGTTATGCAGTGAATACTGTTGACCACCTCTTACCGCTGTTGTGAGCCTCTAGCTGTGATGCTGAGTTGACAGCCACTTTGCAAAGTGAACAGTATAGGAGTCGTCGCGCTTTCTCCTCCTCTGTTTCTGCGTCCGACTCCGCCTCTGGTTCGGCCTCTGGCTCCGGATCTGGTTCTGAGGGCGAGCTGAGCTTTAATTGCTTCTCTTCCCCTCCAGCAGCTGAGGTAGACTCTGGGGCTGTTGCTGCCGTGCTGTTTGGGACCAATGGTGACACCGTGGGCACAGGTACTGGCATTGCTGGGGTCGTTAATGGTGCTGCCAGTCTGAGGACGGGGGATAGCGGTAGAGGCGCTGCACCAAGGACGCCATCTGGAGGGGAGACATGAGTGATTTGTTTGTAACTGTTTGGCTTCCATCAATGCTCGCTTAACAGGTGGCTGCACATGTTTCATTTAAGAGAATCATTTAAATTGATGTGTGAAAGTAAATTGAAAATTTCAAGGTTTCCCCAGAGAAATCATACTATTTTACCTGAGTGCAAGAACACAAAGAAGTTTAAGTCAATTTAAGTTCCAAAGATATTTAAGATCGTTACATCACTATTATAATATATTCAGAACATGTGCCTTGTCACTGAATTTGTTAAGACCCAAGTAAAGGAAGTGCACCAATTCTCCTGCAGCAAAACCCAATCCAAATATTTGGATAAAGACAAACCTGGGAATTTGATCTATGCTAATCTTCTGTAGTGGACAGTAACTCTTTTCGGAATTATAATTGTCAGCTAAAATCAGCGAAAAGACCAAGAGTTAGTTCTAAAATAAGGTACATGGTATACTGTGTATACTTGTGTATACTATATGCCGATGATAGACTGGAAAATATCAATGACGTCATCAGGGACTAGTTGACATCAACTCGGTGCGAAGTTGAAAAATATAAAGGCATGCAAGACCTACTATACTTGGGTTTTTTTTTTCCCACCCCAGTACAGTATTGTGGTTCCATAGTGTAGCGGTTATCACACCTACTTACACGTTCGCAGTACACGCAAAAGGTCCTGGGATTGAGCCCCAGAGGAAGCACATACCCAACACTTCCTGTTTGTATATCCTGTTGCAGCAGATCTGCCATTAGCACAATTCCCTCAGTGTTGGATCAATAAACTTCTCATTTTCATTTTTTTATATTATTTCTTTTTCATTAAATAGTCCAAAACATGCAAAACTGCAGTGAAAACATTTTTGTTTTGTCCATTTAATGAGTTGTTAGAAATAAATGTTTATAAATGTAAACATCATTTTCCCCAGGCAATCTGTTTTTATCAAACATCCAATTATGCTTCCAAAACAGATCAGAGGTAACAAAAATAAACAAAGATGGAGCTGTTAAGAATAAGAGAGTTTATTAAATGTTTGTCTCACCGTGGTTTTAAAACCTCATTTGGTCACAGAGCGACATCTGTCCAAAACTTAAAAAAAAACAACAACAACGCTCTCAAATACCACATTGTTTTCACACCTCATTTATCATCACTCAATAATTCATGCAGAGAGCAAGAGTCTTCAACATGAGAGTAAACAATGAAACAAACAGATCCACAAAAGCACGCTGACGCATGATGCGTTGATGCTGCCCTTTTGTTAACGCTCTCGCAGATGCTACAGAAGCTGTCTTTAACTTTAACTATTCGACTGCAGACAGGTGTTGCGAAGCTGTTTAGTTTAACAGTTTTTACATTTCATTGAAAAAAGAAAAACAGCGAGAGATAGCACATTGGTTTATCTGCTTTTGCTATTAGCATACAGTAATTAGCGTAGATTGGCTGACAAGGTAATTACAAACCTCCGCTGATAAATGCCAGATCATTAAAGGCTGTTTTTTATGTTGTTTGCCAAAAAACATGAAGAGACCTAATAAATTGCACTTGAAAAAACTTTTGTTTAATGACATTTCACAAATCTGAGTCTACGCATTGTAAGTGCTCTCCAAACTGCTTACTTTGTACACAAAGTACTTATAAAACTTTTTTTTAAATTTATAACAGAACAAACTTTTTCAATTAGTTTACATTAGTTATATTTTTAGACGCGGAGTTGAAGATTATTTGTCCAGATTACCCTGCGGGTGATGCAAAAAAACAACGTCTAATTAAATGAAGGAGCACTTAAACAGGAGCTCATTAGATGAAGTAGGCTAAGGAGCTCATTTTATTTTAAAGAAGCTTTGGTAAAGGAAATATTTTCTTCAAGGAGAATTTCAAAGAATATCTACCTGAAAGTAAGCTAAAACACAGTAAGGTAACTACAACTACTACTACTAACTACTAAAATCTATCAAACCAGATGGATTTTTACAACACAGTAGGGTAACTACAACTAAAATCTATCAAACCAGATGGATTTGAAAACGTATCCAAAAATAAAACGAAACCCTGGCTAAATTACCTAGAAATAATATCAATGAATATTAGGGATGGCTGGTCTGATAATGAGGATTGCACGATCGAACATTGATAAAAACCATCGTAGCCCGTCCAATCAGATCCCTTCTTTTTCTCCGTCCAGCCAGCATCGGTGTGCTGTTACTAGGGTGATTTCGTCCCCGTTTATGGCGTGTTGCGCCAGGTTTAGTTGAGCATTTGGGCTTGGGTGTCCTTAGCATGCTGCAGTTTTGACATTGATATTGGCAGATACTCCAAGTTGCAGTATTGGTACGAGATATGAGAAGTTGTATCAAGATGTTTCTAATGAATATTAATAAGTGACCAATAATCGCTTTAAACAGATGAAACGTTAACTTGGAGGTAACGTATCAGGAGTTCAAAGGTATTCAAAGACAACACTTATCCAAACCAGACCCACGCAGTACAAACTTCACACCAAAATGTGATGGAACATTTTCATCTTTCCAGAATTTACATATAAATTAAAAACAAACAGATGACACCGATCGGTCATATTCTCTGCTGGGGTTCACACGAATTATCGTGTTTTGACAAATCGCTGCTTTAATGATGTGATGTTGGAGGTACAACAAAGTGGAGGAATCAATAGATTTGACTCATAAAAACACCACACGTCAGTTGTTGAACAGAATCCAAGCCCAGCGTGATGCCATATTTATACGAAAATGAGATTTTTGCCTGAGCGGCACGAGCTGATCGATGCTGCTCCAGTGTCACCAAATGAAGATCAGACAGCCAGGAGAGCAAATCAATAGTGAATTATGTCATGCTATTTTTGTGAGCCGTTATATATGGTCCTTATTTATCCCAGCGGAGGTGTTGGCAGTCGGGGGCGTGAAACGCACAGACTCACACTGACACAAGAGTTCACTTTTCTGCCATAAGTTAAAAATATATCAAAGCGTCTTAGCAGCTCTTGTAACATCTCTCCTGTGACCCGAGCTGAGAGAAGTTCACATATCTTCACATTAAAAGGAAGTAGGAGGTTCATGCACGGCATTCTTTAAGCTCAGGATCCAAATGACATCCACAACTCGATCCTGAGGGTGCCGAGGCTATGGATGAAAGCTTCATTTGTGGAGGATGGTAAATGTATAGGGTTTTCTTACAGCCACAGCATCTGTAAACAGTCCGTGGAGCACAGTGTAGTGTGGGTTTGAGGTCAATATTTACATGTGCTTCTCCCTCACAGCTGTGACCGTTCAGCTTTAGATTTTTAGAGAGAAACGAGTGGGTGGATCATATACCACAACACATTCAAGGGAACTTGCTGCCTGCTTGAGAGAAACGAGTGGGTGGATCATATACAGTACATATTCATAAATGTACCTACATAACTGCAGTTGGGTTAGACCACGTTAACAGGCACAGAACCAGGATCAGAGTCTGACCAGTCTTAATTGGACCTCTGTGATTTCCGCCAGTCTCGAGGTAACTGGAGTCCAGGGAGGAGGGAGCTCAACTTTATTCAGAAGGATAGAATTTGAATCAAGCTGCGTGCTGCAGTGTCCATGGGCAAGAATCTTAATCCAAAACTTTCACAATACTTGCATCATGATGTGGATATGATGTGAATGCTGGGTGGATACCACAAAGCTAATAATCTGCTGTGGAAATCCCTTTAGGAAGGAGCCTGAATGAAATTATTTATGTCCCTCTCTCTGTGTGAATGTTTGTTTTTTCTGGACATACAGATTGAGGATTAGGCTATCTGTAGTTTTCAAATGGACCAAACGGATGAACACGAGTGTTTCATGACATGTACTTTTTTGGACATTTTTTGTTTAGTGATGATCCAATTCTTATACTCTAAAATACTGTATGTGCATTAGCTCAAAAAAGGAAATGAAAAACACAGCTCTAGGGTAAATTCCCGGTGCAGGTGACCCTGTTTCAGTTCAACTACAATACTGTGTTTAAGCCAGTGTTTGGGAGTGAAATGGAAGCCATTATAAATAATGACACTTCTTTTACTGTTTGTAATTGCTTCACGGAGGAGTTACTACACATTTGTGTGAAATCTATTTTAATTTAAAAGCAACATTTCAACAGTGTGTGTGTGGAGCCTAAATGACATTGATGATGGTGTGTGAGAGCAAAATTATAACCTCTATCATCATAATGACAATAACAACACGGGGTTTAATTTCACTTACAAATACAAACGAGTCCAATAAAATATGACTCAAATAAAAATTCCGAACTAACGTTATGTGTATGGAAAATCTGAATTCCAACTATTGAACCTGTGTCAGCAGAGTCACTTCCTGATGTGTTGAATATGTAAAGGCTGCCGTAACTCGGCAACAAAAACACAGCCGCCCCCAGTCGAGAGTCCACCGCCTTCAAATGCACATGTTTTAAATCACCAGGCCTCAACATAACTTCACCCTCAGATAAAAGACTTTGTCCTGCATTTTCTCTGACATATCCAGGCCACAGCTGCTGCAGCACCAGGGTGAGAAACTCGGCTCATACGTTTATCCTTTCTGCAGTGAGATAAGAGAGCTGTGTTACCGCTCGGATACATTCCAGTTTCTACCAAATTAGCGTGCACTGCCGTCTCTAAAGGGCCTCTCTTACCGACTTAGACCCTGCACAAAGGCAAGGTTGGAGAGAGGTTAAAAAGGTCAAACACTTATCTGCATTGATTGGACAAGACCTCCTTTATCATCAACGGAGGCACAGGAGTACAATCTGAGGAGTTGTGCAGATAACAGCAGGCGGAGGGCCCTGTACGTCCCTGGAGATGTGCACTACCACGTTCACAGAGACGGACTGAGATCCACACTCGCAGTCTTAGTCCGAGTCAGGAGAAGTTCAAAGGACCAGATAAAACAGACGCTCTAATCTTTAGATTTAATTGCCCAGTAGAACTGTTCCATTTACATTTTTGGATCTG